GTTGGCCTTTAAAAGAGAAGCATAATAATAAGTTAAGTGTTGCCGAGATGAGAATGATTAGGTGGATGAGTGGCTTTACACTTAGAGACAAAATGCGGAATGAATATATTCGTGATAGGGTTGGTGTAGCTCCTGTGACAAACAAAATTAGAGAAAGTCGTCTTAGATGGTTTGGTCATATTAAACGTCGACCATTAGATGATCCGATTAGGAGAGTAGATGTTTTAAATTCGACTTGTGTTAAGAAAAGCAGAGGTAGACCTAGGAAGACTTGGGCTTATTGTATTAAAAATGATCTTAATTTACGATTCATGTAGCCGACCCCGATACTAAATAAGACGCAATGGAGAAAAAGGATTCATGTAGCCGACCCCACATAGTGGGATTAGGCTTTGTTGTTGTTGTTGTTTTTAATACTTGAAATTGATTTGTTTATTACAAGACGAGTATTTAAATGAGCTTAAAATTCAAATAATTATTCAAATACTCATATAAAAATTTTAATAAATAATTTTATAAATCTAAATAAATGAACAATTTAATAAATCAGATAAGAGAATGAATTGATCGACATAATCTCATCTATTATCCATAATAGATATTTTCTCCCAAGAATGTATTCTATGGTAGAGAAGAAACTTGGAAATAAAAGAACTTGTACTATCAAAAGAAGCCCTAAACCCTAAACCTTAACCCTAAGTAATTTGGATTTTTCTCACAAAAAATCCAAATGAACTTGTAGTATCAAATAACTCATAATGCAAAACCTTTCATTAATTGATATAGGAATATATTAATTTTAAATATATAATTATATAAATTTTGGCTATTTAAATTTTATTTAGATAATATATCATATATGATACAAACTATCATTGAGATTAATACCAAATATTTAACAAGTTACTTGTTGAGCAACAAACGAGTTTGTTTATGAACATAAATGAACAATTTCGACTATGTTCATATTTAATTCATTTAACCTTTGAGCTTTTAAAAATTGTTCAAGCTTCTTTATTTACTAATTTAAATAAACTTGATTGTGTCTTAATCGAGTCAAGTTCGAGTTGTTCATGGAGTGCTTTGGTTCATTTACATCCCTAGCTGCTCATTATATAAATAGATTTAAGAGATTTCATTAATTTCTATAGAGCATAGTTTCGAACTGATCTTAAAGAAGGATTTGTCTGATACTAAATGGGTTCAAACAAATTATTGGATATGACAATTTTTTAATTTTTATATTGATGAATTATATTCAAGTAGGATGTTCATGTTTATCCTTCTGCTAATCTGTCCATCCAGTAACAACATTTATTTCCTTTGCGTTCTAGCCGAGTCTATTGTATAGTTAGCTGACCCATCTTTTCCAAACTTTGTTTTCTCAAATAACAAATTTTGTATGTTATGCTTAGCCTTGTACTATTTAATGCCTGTTATGGTTTAGACAGAATCTAGTTAGTGATGCAGCCAAGCAAGAACAGGAAGAAAAACATACGGACAAGAAAAAAGGATATAAAAAGTGAAAACGTAGTTCCTGGTATTTTGAATAAAAGATAACCAACTATTTTTTTCCTCACTACTATAAATCACTATATATTCTTCAAGCAATAAGTAATATTTATAACATGCATAACACGGGAAGGAATTACTCCCGACTAATAAAGAAAACTAAGTAAACAAATATTGATAATAAGACTATATAAAAAGAAATGGGTTCCATGATGTTATGCTGGCTGCATGAGGGGCCTCCCTCCTTATAAGAATTCGTGTCAAGTTCGGTTGCTATAGTAGAGCTGCCATCTGTTGGTTTGTAGTGATAGAGATCAGAAACATTGAAAGTAGGTGAAATGAGAAGGTTAGAAGGGAGTTCGACGACCTATGCGTGGTCATTAATTTTTTGGAGAATGGGGCCCCAGTTTCTTCGGCTTTAGCTTAGAATAGGTTCCGATAAGAAAGCATTCCTTCCTTAAATGCACCATAACTAGATCCCTCACATTGCTTCCAAATTGGATGCATTTTTAGCAGGTCTCGACAGAATAGCTAAATCTGCAATTACATTAGGGGATTTAGTGTAAAAAACGTTGGATGAGGAGAAACCTGCGAACGATTGACGGTGAAGTTAAAGCAAACTCAGCCTCATATAAGGTTTCATCCCACTGTTTTGGTCTTTCACTAGTCAGGCATTTCAGCATAATGCCCAATGATCTGTTAACTACTACAGTCTGACTGTCAGGTTGCGGGTGATATGCTGAACTGAAATTTATTTGTGGAATCTTTTCAATAATTCCAATCTGAAGCAGCTCATAAACTTCACATCATGATCAGCCGTGGAACTACAGGGAACTCCATGAAGTCTTGAAATGTGACTCACATCCAAAGCCCGCTTACAAGGAATAAAATGCATCGTCTTAGAAAGTTGATCTACTACCACCATTATAGAATTGACTCCATGTTGAGTTTTAGGTAAACCCAACACGAAATCTATGCTCAAATCTTTCCAAATAGTGTTAGGAATGAATTTAGGAGTGTATAAACCAATGTTTTGAGTAGTTCCCTTGCACCTTTGACAAATATAACATCTCTCCACAAATCGGTAAACATCCCTTCGACATTTAGGCTAAAAGAACTTTGATTTAACCAAGTCTAAAGTCTTATCTCTGCCCATATGTGTAGCCAACCCCCCCTCCACCATGCAATAACTTTATGAGTTGAAGACGTATTGGAACACATAATTGATTGTCCTTGGACAAGAATCACCTAAGAAATGAGTATCCTTCCGTAGGCTCATTTGTTATACACCTTTCCCATGGAATGGCAAAGTCTTCGTTACTGACATAAAATTCTTGCAGCTTCAGTTTGTAAAGCTTCTAGAAGATCTGACCTTCGGCTTAACACATCATCCAATTGATTACAACAACTTGCCTTGTGTTTAAAGTCAAAACCAAATTGTTGTAGGAATTGTATCCTCTAGACATGCATACGATCCAAGTTCCTTTGAGAGTTGAGAAACTGTAAAGGAATGATACTTACTAAATAGGACGAACTCTTGATGAAGTAAATAGTGCTCTCGATGCTTCAAATCTTTACCTCAACATAGAATTCTTGTTCATAGATGGATCGGCTTTGTCATGTAGGACTTAGCTTTTCACTTAAGTATTCAATTAGCTTACGCTACTGTGATAAAATCACTCATATTCCAAGTGCTGAAGCATCCGCCTCCATTTGAAAAGATTTACTAAAACCAAGAATAAATAGAAGTGGGGATTTGCATAATTTTTTCTTGACTAATTCAAAGCTGTCCTATTGTGTCTTTTCTAGGGTTGTAAGTGTGTCAAGTTGACTCGTGTGCCAGCTTGATAAGTGGCTCGTGAACTGAGCTTGATAAGCCAACAAACCAAGCTCAAGCTAACCCTTACTCGACTTGTGAGTCGGCTCAATCGAAAAAAAATTAATATAAAATATATTAAAAATATATCAAATTTTAAGAATTTAACTTTAAAGTATTAAAATAGTTTAAAAGGTGATATTTTGTATTCTATATTAAAAGATTCCTTATTATCTCTTTCCTAATTGCTCAATTTATTTATTATATTATTATAGCACTTCCTTAAATTAATATTATTTTCTTTCTTTTATAATAAACTTGACATCTCGAGTTTGTAGACTTATGTTCGAGCTCAAACTCGATAAAATTAATCAAGCTCAAGCTCACACTGAGGGTGGTTCGAGCCTGACTCGACTCGTTTACACCCCTAGTTTTTCCTCAGTAAAATGGTTTTCCCTTCCGGTAGTCAGAGATGGGAGCTACAGGAGAGCTAAAATTCTTAACAAACCTCTTGTAGAAACTAGCTAAACCCAAGAAACTTTTGATATTGGTCACAGAAAATTGAGGTGGCCAAGAATGAATAACTTCCACTTTCGTATGGTCCGTCATAACGCCATCAACACCCACAATGAAGCCAGAAAAGTGAACTTGGTTAAGAGCTTCGAAAACCGATTCAAGATGTGCAAGGTATTCCTGTGAAGAAGAGCTGTAAACAAGAATGTCATCGGAGTAAACTTTGCAAAATATAACTAAGATCATGACTCGCCATTCATATAGTGTTTCGTGAGTCTTGAAAGCGGTCTTCCACTCCTCCCCTTCTTTGATATCGTGTCTAATGATCCCCACTACGGCTATCTAGTTTGTTGAATACTTAAGCCCCTTGGAGCTTGTCCAACATGTACTCTAGCCTCGGAATAGAGAATCTATATTTCACAGCTATCTTATTAATGGAACAACTATCCACACAAAGTCTCCATTTGTCACCTTTATTCATTACAATCAATGCAAAAAATGCAAGAACTTATATTGTGGCGAATAAAATTTTTGGACAGCAGGTTGTTCACAATGTATATTAGAATCTTTAGTTCGAAAGTGTGAGATTCGGAAGCGTTGCTCCTGGGAGCAGGTCAATTTGATGTTGAATTGGTATGCTGGGTGGCAATGCATTAGGTAATTCGTTAGGAGCAATAACAACATATTTTTCCAATAGATGTTTAATTTCAGATGGCCTTTCTAAGCTCACTATTCGATTCAGACATTAATAGTGCCAAGAACATTTAACACTGATTATAAGCTGCAATTAATTGGGGAGCAGATGTGCACAAGAAGACAATACTTTCTTTCGGTTTCTTGACATTTATGTTCGAAGACGGTAAACGAATCTTTTTACCCTTCCAACTGAACAGAGCCATTCTCCCTGCAGTTGTACCCTGCCCCTATGTTAAAATGCCATGATCTTCCTTGTATTAGATGGCTAACGTCCTCGGTTATTGTACTTAAATTCCCCTTTTGATCCAGTTAATCTTATATGGTTTGGTGTGCTTGAAATTCTTCAAGCCTTTACCACCTTACTAGAAATTATGTTCTCCGTGCATCCACTATCAATAAGAGCGTCACACATCTTAGCATTGATGGTACACCTAGTGAGGAATGTAGCATCTCTTTGCGAAGAAACCATCTAGGATCTATGAGGACGTTCTCCATGACACAAGACAAGAATTCACCTTCTTCTCCCAGTACATCTACCACACCCCCAGTCTCTTCATTTTCTGCTTCCATCCAATGATTAGACTGTTTTCCTTCCATAATATGTACTTGTTCTCTTTACGGACACTTATTAAAGCAGTGCTCTGGCTAGAAATATCTAAAACACTCAAGAGGGTGCCGGTTTGCTGTTAAGAGTTTTCTCTTGGTTTAACTGTTTTGTGTGGCTGCTTGGATTTATTGGTTTGACTAGCTGCAGTTGATTGAAGGGTACCTCCCCTTATTAAACTGTTGGAAACTTAGGTGCTTCGGTAACAACCGAAGAATCACCTGTAGCTCTGTGGTTATACACCTCTGCTTGTAAGCCCTGTTGTTTTGCAATTCAGCTATGTGGGCGTAATTGATAGCTTTGGACAACAACCATATATTGCTCAATTCCAAACGATCTTGAAGAAATTCTTTTAACCAGCCAATAAATCTAACAATCTGCTGTTGGGGATTATTAGGATCGCTCAATCTATCAAACTCTTCCATATGTTGTGCGACCGTGCAATTACTTTGGGAACAACTCTCATATTGTGAATAAAGAAGCTTCTTGTAAATGAAGGCAAGAAGTGACCGGGTATTAATTTTTTTCTTCTACTCCATGAATGAACATTGCTTTTACTCTCCCTTCAATGAGATTGAGTCAGTTGAATCCACCTGGCCGCTGCACCGCGGGTTAACTTACAAGATACGTACCTCACTTGGCGTTCGGGCAGAACATCCATATACTTGAAAAATGTTTCCACCAAATGTTCCCAACCTCAATAATCCTCTATATGCAATTGTACATCAAAACTTGGAAAATCAATTTTCAGTTTAAAATAATGCCATCCTTTATTATTGAAATTCCTTCTCCAATGTGGAACATCGCCAAGATCCAAATCCTCTGTTGTTGAATCTGATCGGAAGTTTCTCCTTCTTGGACCCCACTTCTTATTGGAGTCAAGATGGTCAAAATGCGCCACATAATCGATCCTTCAGAATTGCTGCAGGTTACGATTATCCGCAGCAGTCACCTTGAACGGTTAGATCTGCCCCCAATCCTGTCAATCCGAAGCTCTCATCTTACTTCCATGGTACCGCCTCCAATTTATGCTCCAACACGACTTGAGCTTCTCGTAAAAACTCCCAACGTCTCCAGTCGTCACTCATTGGATTCCACTTGCTTCCCTCTATTATTTGGCTTTGATACCAAATCGATGCACTCCGACGATACTTAATTTGCGGCATACTGAATAGAAGATAACCAATCACGTTTTCCTCACTACTACAAATCATTATATATACTTAAAGTAACCAGTAATATTAGTGACCTATATGACCCCAGTAGGAACTAAGCCCAAGTAGTAGAAAAAACTAAGTAAACAAATACTAAAAATAAGACTATCTAAAAGGGTATACGTCCAATGGCTTTATGCTTGCTGCATCAGTTTGCTTGGCAACAATACCTTAGCTAAACTTTGTTTTCTCAATTAATAAAGGTTGTTAATTTGAAAATACAATTAATGTCAATAAGAACTTTATATTATATGTCTAAAGTTAGCCTAATAATAAAATAGCTAGGATTTTTTGAGGAATCAGCCTTTGGGAAATTTATTTGGACTGACTATCTTATTTCATGTTTTGGTCATATAATTTTTAATTTGTTGCAATTAGGTCATATCTTATGGAAGCCAGCAACCATTTTGGGACGCTTTTATATGATTTAAAAAGTAGATTTTTTGGCAGTTTATTTTGCCTTGCAGCTCCCGATATTATTTTTGGCCTGCAATGTTCATTCTCTAGTTCGTTCTAATGTGGTTGTCTATTCAAACTTAACCTTTTTTCTAATGAATTTTCGGCTTAATTTAAATGTCTGTTAGCAGCACGCTGAAACTGTCAAAGAATTTTACAGACTCCTTAAATTTGTGATATAGCAACTTTTGAAAGCACTTCCGGGCCAACCTGGAGAATAAATTCACTCTTCTTTTAATGCTACACCTTGATGTAGCAGGCTAATTTGTTAACGCTGCTTGTGTTTTTGAGTGACTACTTGAATAATCCAAATGGAACCCTTGCAAATCTTCTGTGAGCCTAACTATTGCTTGCTATTAGGTGAAAGTATATGAGGGAAGTATGTCAAGGAGCCCAAGTCGAAGCAGAAGCCTTAGTAGAAGTCCCAGAAAAAGAAAGAGTCGAAGGTATGCCTGTTAATTATTTTACTGCTTTGGCAGTTCTGAATATGTTGGGTGCCTAATTTTAACTTGATATTTACTTTGTAGCAATTCTATTGACCGTCATGGTGTGAAACGGGCTTCTAAATCAATTTCTCCAAGGCTCAAGTCTGCTTCCCCAGCCAGGTTGCCTTGTTACATTTGATTCTTAGCTTGTTATTCTGCAAGGCTTTTAACTGCTTTTTATACTTTTCCAACTGTCTTTGCTATTTCGACTATAAGCAACTGTAATTGTGATCGACACTAAAGGTACCTAAAATGCTGTATTTTGTATCTTATCTGGCACTCTTAGTACTTAGGCCTGTAAATGAATGGGCGCATTTGATGAATAACTCGAATGTGGCTTGATTAATGTACTCGGTCATGTTTGTCCAAATTCATAAATAAGTTTGAGCATTTTTTTTAAACTTAGGGGTTAATTGAACTAAATTTGAAAATGGTTAAACTCATTTGTTACTGTTCACGAACAAGTTTGTTTGTTGTCTAACAAGTAACATGTTAATTATATATTATTTAAATAAACTTTAATTAACTTGAACTTATTTATTATGCATATAATAATAACATATTATAATTTAAATCAGTATACATGTAAATTTGATGCAATTTCTTATTATCTTTTTATATCAATGAACTAATTTGTTAGTATTTTTCATATTGTTTGATTAAGGAAAACTTGCTTACAATTTATATAATATTTTATTTGGTATAGCTAAAAGCTAATTTAAAATTTATTTAATTGCTTATTTATTTAGATTTGTAAATTCATTTATTTACAACTTTATATAAGAAACCAAATTCTAATTCAAATTTTTTATTTGTTTACGAGCCTTATATGAAAATTTAAGGATGAATAAAAATTTGAATTTTATTTGAAAAATTACGTATTCATTTGAATTTCTTGTTTATTCAATTAAAATAAATTTCAAATACAATTCATTTATGATCATTAAAAAGCCAACATGAACATGTATGTGAAAGTTCTGGTTAATCTCTAATGGAATATCAATCAATCACTTATGAGTCAACCAAGCCAAGTCCAATCCACAACTTGGCTCTATTATGGCCCTATTAGTATCTTTGTTTTTCTGTAGTTTGCTTGTTTTCATGACTTTTGTTTATTTTCTGTGACTGCAGGTCGACGTCAAGATCAAGGTCACGTTGATCCTGCGAGGTATGCTGCTTTCATATGTTTTCATGTCTATCTGATATAAGTGGAATATCTATTTGAACTGCATATCTATTTCTGTTTATAGCTAAATTTATGCATAACACATCTCTCATCTTGCCATCCCTAATGCATTCGTGTGAGCGCACGTAGGATGAAGCTTATAATTTTAAGTTTCGATTTGGCCTGCTTGTGATCGTCTCTTTGAGATTTCACCGTACAAAAATTTTGAATTTTCGTTGGATTCATGCCTTTAATGGATGCTATGCTTTATTGTTAATCATCTCATTCTGATTAGAGAGGTGGTTGTCCACATGGCTTAAATAGATTTGCATTCCAAGACTATTGTTCCATAATTTTTAAATGGGCGTGAATGATCCCGTGTAGATCATTTGATTCTTTCACGATGGTTTTCCTTATCCTCTTAGTCATGAAAGTTTATTTGTCTTTTAGCAGCGGATTAGGAAATTTCATGAACATTTTCGAACAATCTTATGGCCAATTTGTATATTTTAGAGTTGGAAGGGAAATTCATCAAATGGAATTGGCTTGATAACGTTAGATCTTAAGGGTGCTTATGTAAAGTCTCTGGCATAATTATGTGATTCAGAGGATCTGACCCTATGGAGGCATTATCACCTCTACTCTTGGGTAAACTATTTTCTTCCCGGCATTTTAAAGTACATGATAGCTCCTTCTCACATGATTTTTAGAAGTTGTGATATTTTTTCTCTCTCTAGGCAATCTTCAAGTCCAATTATTCAGATATTCTAATTTGTTGGCCTGACATTACCGTGTATTTATAGGAATTTCATTACTATTTTATCCATGAAGATTTAAATACATACCACTTAATTGATATGTGTTTACATATCTAACACCTGAACTTCAATTTTTACATATATGCACTTTTTTTTTCACATATTATCACCTGTGCATGAAAAGTGTATTTCGGGTGAGTTAAAATAGTAATATTTTCGATGTGATGATGCAAAAAAATGAAGTAAACGTGTTAGAGATGTAAATAGATTAGAATTGGGTGGTATCTATCTAAACGCCTCTTTTATCTATTCTAAACTTTGTTCCTTGTATATTTTAATTTCATATTCTAGCACGTTGATGTTACATATATGCCACCACCTTTTTTTTTTTTTTTAACGTTTACACTTGTTCAGGTGTGTGCCATGTTGTCTTCAGCTGTGCAGGACGGGCAGCTGGGACGCCGCAACATGCAGCATTGCCCACCTACCCGGACAGTAGTTTGTTTTGCTTTTGCGTATTTTGGACTTAAAATTTTGCTTTCTACTATTTAGTGTCTGTTGCGGAGCCTCAGATTTTTAAACAAGAACTTATTTCAATTGTGTTTATTTATCAGCTTTTGTTCTCCTCCACTGTTGTGAGCAAATTCAAACAAAGGCACCGTCTCAATTACTGACAAAATATCAGTGTTTAATGTTCCTTTCCAAGCTAATTTCATTTTTCGTATGGCGTAAGATAAATCCTTTGCAAATGCTCCAAATGCTATATTATGCATGATGGGGCTTTTTCTGGATAGTGAAAACTAGTGAAAGACTAGTAAAAGCATAGGCCCATAACATTAAGTTTGAAGACTTGAACTTTATCAGATGTATATATATATATATATATATATA